GTGGAAATGGGGCGAAGTGGAAATGGGGCGAAGTGGAAATGGGGCGAAGTGGAAATGGGGCGAAGTGGAAATGGGGCGAAGTGGAAATGGGGCGAAGTAACCGACACCCTTGCTACTGCACCATCCTTAGCCACACATCCGTGTACGCAATTTCGTGTCGGCGTGGTGAAATCTTATGCGCACCGTCTTATAATCGCAAATTTTTTTGCACACACAAATGATCCTTTGTCTCTCCGCTTTCTAATGACCATTTATTGAATGATTTCACTCACGTTGTTTCCAGTTTGGTTGCCTTTACCCATTCAATCTCACAGTCTCACTCTATCAAAGTATTCATGCCGAAAATACCACTGTCATAGGGTTTGTGCACAAGGTGTGAGGTGATATCCATTTACTGACCCCTTTGCCAGGATTAGGTGACTGGTTACATTATTACTAACAGAAGCTTTCCTTAACATATCTGGCAAAATGGGCAGCGCACACGTCTCACTTTTGCCGACAGTTCCCAAAATGTTTGGCAAGTTAGAAGTAGCCTACGTGTTGAACATGGCTGTTGTACCTTACACAGCCTGTCTTCGGAACATTATGATTCCACGGAGGACTTCAGACACTGAATGTTGCAAAAGGTGAAGTTATGGTGAGAGTGATTGCACATATTCATGGTGTTTGGCTTAATTTGGAAATTTTCAAACATACCCCTTTCAAGCTGGTATTTTAGCCCAAAATAATCCTGCAACTAGGGCTGGTTTGTTGTGAAATAATTACTGTGTTAAGTTTTTAATTACCACATCATTTACTTTTCCGGAGTCAACTACTCAAATTCAAAAATTCAAATACGTATTGCACACCAGTATCTAGTCATATAACCAAACATACATGTACAGCGATCAAAATTTTCTTGTGTTAAATAGAAGATACAGAATAAGTGGGAAATACAAAAAAAATAGCACAAATTTATAGCTCAGATTTTACAAAATTTTGTGGTGAATGACTAAACATTAAAAGTTGACAGATTTATGACAACTCTTTGTGAAAGGACTTCATCTGTTCCTGTCTTTTACTGTCTACATTTTTGTGATGTAATTTTTTGCAGCACTTTACACTAGTAGGCCTATGGTTGTTCCCAGTAAAGACATTGAAAACTTTTGTTGGTCATTTAGATAAAAGAATTGTGCTCATATTTGTTGACCCACTGCGCGTTTGGAAAGGGTCGACAAATTTCACGCGTTATGATTGGCCGACTCCTTGCAAACTCTTGGTGGCACACTATTGTGAATCACCTGAATTGATTCAGTCTGTTAGCATACGTGTACATGTATGTCCATGCATTGTAGGTTTTGCATTGCTTGGGTCATAAAAAGTTTGTGTGTTTTTTGCCTGTGCTGTATGCATGTTAACCCTTATTCCAAAGGCCTTTTTTTACAGAACCAACGTAAATCCTCCAATATGTTATTAAATGCAAGGAAAGAAGTGGCAGTGTTTCAAATTTTCAAGGGGCACCAAGCCCTACGAAAAGTAATAATGCCAGGCCTCAATTCTTCAAAATCTTTCCAAAACATAAACTGTTTTTTGATTAAGCTGAAAGAGTTAAATCCTGTAAATTTCCCATTTGTACATTTTTTATTGCCCTTTTTCAGGAACTGCCTTTTTCAGGAATCATGGACAGTCTTCGTCTTTGCCTCCTGATCCTCTCCTGTTTCATCCTAGTAACTACAGGTAAGATTATTCTTCTGACCTCTCTCCAGATTTTCTTAAGTGCTTCTAGAAAACAAAAGAGAGGAACTCTTTTCAGATTTTTTTTACATTATTACACCTACATGTACCGTGTACTTTAGAAAGCAGAGGAAAGTTGTTGGGAGCTTCATTTTGTATTTCTTGGCTCGTGCACAAAACCGTGTGTTTTGAGCCTACTTTTTTGTATCAGTTTGCAAAAATATGCGCTGAATTTAATTAAGGAATCACTACAAATCTTACATTATTGAATGCCACTAGTACCGATATCATGATTATTGATGTCCATAAGCCTTGATTAATCATGCATTCATAGTTCAGCATCTTTTGGCTTGTATACAGTCCCCTGCTGTAACTATCCCATACAGTAAGCACAATACAAGGCAATACAGCCAGTTTGATCTCTAATGGGTGATCCTTGAAGTTTTGTAAAAAAAAATGGGCTGTCTCAGGTAATAAATTCCATGTTTTGGGGGTATGTATTTTCAGAGATGTGCTTGTACATGTAGATGAATCGTCCAGTACTCTGATGTGTTTCTGGTCTTGAATGGATGTTGTTAATGAGATAATAGCTGTAGTCATTAATAACAAATCTTGCATTACCTCTCAGGATTTTTTCAGTGGTTATTAGTATTAGGATCCCAAATATTCCAAAGGTGAATGAATCCAGGGATCTGCCGCTGACGGTCGGCGCCGGTCGAGCCCGACTGGCACG